AAAAAAAAAAAAAGTGCATGAAAATGATTTGATGATGTACTCGCTGTATGCCCGTATTGCCAAACACACTCTGCATCTTCTTCCTGGATGCATTATGAATGTTATAGAATCTTTGGAATCAACATCTTAACTTTCTTTCGACGAGCTATTGTGTTGGAAGATTTTGAAAGCCATACTTCTTCCTGAAATTTCAAAAGCATGTGGATCATTAGTGATTAAAAAGGATACCATTCTAATGAAATGTACTTGTGACTTGGATGATGTGATTACATTTTCGTTTCAATTGTGCAGACGGGTGGTTCAAGCAATCGGCAAAAAGAGAGCAAAAAACGCATGCCATCCGCGGCAAAGAAAGCCAAGGTAGCAAGATCTAAGATAGACAAAAAGAGGAAACAACAACGCGCTGGCAAACAATTTCGAGGGAGAAAAGCTTGGAAGTAAAGTGAAGACTAGCTTTCTTCTCTTCAATTTTGTCAAAGAAAAAGCAGAGAAGCTGAAAATGTACTTGCTCTATTATTGGTGTAATTTTATTTGATTGTGCAATTTTGATCCTAATTTATTGGAGACAAAAAATAATGTCAGAGAGTAAATTTTTATTTGAAAGAGCAGAGCGATTTTTTCTCTTTGCCTGTACAACTTTTAAGGCAGTCTATTTGCAAATTGCTTAAACACGGGCATCAGAGCAATCTTTCACTTTTGTAAGGTCTATCGTAAGACAAGCATAAAATTGTGTATGTAGTTATAAATCATAGGTTCAGTTGAAAATTTCTTCTCAACAGAATGTCACTTACGAGAATATAAAGAAATGGGGCATCACCACGGTTAAATTTTCCATATTTCACTATTGCATGCAGTCCAGAAATGATATATAGATCACCATCTTTTAGTGACAGAAATATTTCAAAACAAGTTTGGAGCTTCTTCAGTAATAATACTGGTACGACTTTCGAAGGACTCTCAGTAAGGCAAGTCCTCATGGATTAATGGTGACCAACAAAAAAAGAGAGAGTTGCAAATCGAACTAATTTGCAGGTAGGCATCTATAAATGCACAGGGTGAGAGAATCTTGGAGACTCCAAAAGCAAAAACAACAACAACTCCCACAAGTGGGGTCTGGGGAGGATAGTGTGAACGCAGACCTTACCCCTACCCTGTAAAGTAGAGAGACTGTTTTTGATAGACCTTCTGCACAAGAAGATGAAAAGAGACAACAACAACCCAGTATGATCCCAAAAGTGGGGTCTGAGGAGGATAGTGTTTACGCAGATCTTACCCTTACCCTATGGAGTAGAGAAGCTGTTTTCGATAGACTATGGTGTCAAGAAATCATGGTATCAATTACTTACTATACAATATGACGATCTTCATTCAGCCATACCGAAATATAGATTTTCAGACGATTCCTCGTGTATTTCGGACATCCAAAGGACCACTTGGATTATGGCCTCAATCTGGTACCATTCAGAACGGATTCATTTATACAGAAAGCTTGATCTCTCCAAAATCGCTTACTTAGTATTTACTCATATGTATCATCGCGATATTTTTTTCTTTTTCTTGTGGTTAATTACTCATATTACAGTCTCTTAGTATTTGTTTTAATTTCATATCATAAATTGAACTCTCTGGTGGTGGTAATGAAACGTACCCGCTCCGGGTCAGGTTCCACACATATGAGACAGGCAGAAGGTATGTAGTTAGATGCATTAGCATTCTTTTGCTTGTGATATTACAAGGTTCGTATTCAGACCTTCCCTAAGAGAAGCTATTGTAGCTCATCAACAAGAAGAATGAAGAAAGATGGCAACTTATTATCTATGGTAATTTTTGAACCTCCTTTACCGCTATACTAGAATCTTAACTTTAATTTTTCCGTAAAGGGGATTCAATAGAACCCCGTCAGTTCCCTTTTTAGCTTCGCCACTGTGTTCCAGAGTTATTTTATGAACAACATAGTATAATTTTCTTTTATCAAGGGGATCCAAAAATTCATATATAATGAAAAATAATAATTTTGCCCTATTTGTATAGTATAATTGTTGTTGTTGTGTCAAACTATTTTTTCTTTTACTATGATTTTTCTCAAATATTTTTGTTCGATTAAATATAATAATTAAGCATTTTATATACATTGTTTTGATCTTTTCGTATATCTAAACAAGCATATTTCATTTATGTTTTCGGATGGTGGTTACGTATTTAAGACATCCAGAGGACCATTTTGCTTATGGTCTCAATCTGACACCATTCAGAATGGTTTCGTTTATACAGAAAGCTTGATCTCTCCAAAAGTACTTACTTAATATTTACTTGCATGTATACCGAGGCTTTTTTTTTTTGAAAAAGCATGTTACAACCTCTTAGTCATTTTAATATCACAAATTGCACTTTTCGGTGCAGTGTAGTTGGATGCAACAATATTCTTTTGCTTGTAAATATTACAAGGTTTCCTACTTTTTGAGTGCGACTTTTTCTCGGATCCTACGTTCACGCAGTATACCTTATGCACCGAGGAGCCCTTTTTTTATTATTACAAGGTTTCGTACTCAAAGGTTCTATTAGGAGAAGCCGTTTTAGCTCATCAGTATTTAAAAAAATGATGAATGATGTCTTTGTCTGTCAACTGAAACAAATAATTTTCATTTTAGAATTAATCAATTTCCTAAAACTAATATTGAGTTGCTCGCTCAAGAGGTAATACGGAGTATTTTGCGTGTAATATTTTAATATAAAATATGATTTTGTTAAAAGTCATCAACTATTAATAACATGAGTGAACAACAAAGAACAACATACCCAGTAAAATTCTACTAGTGGGGTATGGGGCCCTTACCCCTACCCCGAAAAGGGCAGAGAGGTTGTTTCCAGGAGACTCTCGGCTCAACAGGAAAGGCAATAATATCAGAAAAGAAATAAGCGAAAAGACATGTAACAATAAAAGATACCAGAAAGAAAATAACCACAACAAATAAGTGAAAGGACAATAACACAAAACTATGCAAAACACCAATGTGAATACAACAAAGATCGCTAAACAAACCTACCGAAACTCTAACAGACTACCTGGTACAAAGAGGGAAGAACTCTCGACTACCCCCTAGCCTACCATCCTAATGCTCGACCTCCACATGTTCCTATCAAGAGCCATGTCCTCGGAAATCTGAAGTCGCGCCATGTCCTGCCTGATCACCTCGCCCCAATACATCTTAGGCCGCCCTCTGCCTCTCCTCGTACCTGCCAAAGTCAACCGCTCACACCTCCTAACTGGTGCATCTAGGCTCCTCCTCCACACGTGTCCGAACCATCTAAGCCACGCTTCTCGCATCTTATCGTCCACGGGAGCCACGCCCACCCTCTCCCGAATATCTTCATTCCGAATCTTATCCAGCCTAGTGTGCCCATACATCCATCTCAACATCCTCATTTCTGCTACTTTCATCTTCTGGATATGTGAATTCTTGACTGGCCAACACTCAGCTCCATACAACATGGCCGGTCTAACCACCGGTTTATAGAACTTACCTTTGAGTTTCGGTGGCACATTCTTGTCACACAGGACTCCAGACGCAAACCTCCATTTCATCCACCCCGCTCCTATACGGTGCGTAACATCCCCATCGATCTCCCCATCTCCCTGGATAATTGACCCTAAGTACTTAAAACTTTCTCTCTTGGGATGACCTGTGAGTCAAGCCTAACTTCCACATCCGCTTCCCCCGTCACATTGCTGAACTTACATTCCACATATTCTGTCTTAGTCCTACTCAACTTGAAACCTTTAGACTCTAGAGTCTGCCTCCATACCTCCAGTCTCCCATTAACGCCGCCTCGCGTCTCATCAATCCGAACTATATCATCAGCGAACAACATACACCATAGCACCTCTCCTTGGATATGGTGTGTCAGTGCGTCCATCGCCAGAATGTAAGAAAAGTCAAACGAAATAATCGCAAAGAATTGATCTTAGCTATATCAGAAAATATGAGAGAAGGAATCAGTTCAAGCTAGAATTTTAGCTAGGTTTCTTTGCAAATTCTGGTGTTCATCGTATGAAAAATTCTGGCGATTGCCAAGAGTGCTTTCCAATCGATCTTACGTATTGGTATGTTTTGTTGTTTAAATGATAATTGCTGTAATGAATTGGAAGAATTTACATCAAAAGAATTTGTTCACATTTAATTTATTTGTGCAATATAATATTTGCCATTCCTTTTATATTAACATATTAGAAATCCCCGGATTAATTTACTCCAGGATTGTAGTATTATTTTTTTCCCACATTAAGGGTGGAATAATAATTCCGAAATTATTTAATACCGGGATAAAGTACATGATTAACTCAACAAAATTCATGAATTATTAATGATAAGTACAATTGGTGTACAATTATCTAATAGGTTCTGTATTAAATGCTCAAGTTGTAATTAACACAGTTCATGTCTTTGGGGTTTGCTGATCATGCTTATAAATTTATTAATAGTCAAATCATTTTTTACATGTCCAACGGTTGACAGGGTTCCCTATATTGTGTGAGATTGCACGATAATAAAATCAAATAAGTGAGATTTAATGATATTATTCATGACCACGCGAGGCACGGGCAAATTACCTAGCATATTTATATCTATCTATATCTTTTTATACTATATTAAAAGCACAAAGTCCCGAATATGAGATGTTGTTCGTCTTTTTTAACCTTTAAACACTAGATAAAACAGTCATTTATGTATTTCCCTAATGTTTAGGAATTAAAATTAATCAAAAGTTTTGGCTATTAACTCTTTTCTTAATTTAGTAATGTAGGATTCCTAATTTACATGTACAATGCACCTTTAATTCATGAAAATTTTATTATTTCCTTAGATATAATCATTAATATCTTTAAGTTTTATACAATAATAAAATTAATTCCGCTTTTCATGCAATTCAAGGTCTCCTATTCTTGTTCATTATCTGACCAAATAGAAACAAGTTATATAAAGGAGATCTGTTAGTGAGGGAGTTACTATTTTAATAGTATTTGATCGACGAGTGAATATTTAGTTCATAAAAATATATTATCTTTTGTACATATCCACGAGTGAATATATGCTAGAAATTTATTTGTATTACTATTCATGTGGTATTCATTATCTGAAAATTAGTTATTACAATCAAGAAAAAGAAAATAAATGTACATAACGTAATAGCTTAAGTCTTGAGCATTTGACGGTGTCAAAAATATTTACTCCTTTGATCAATTTAAACGATAATTGTAATTCATTCAATTATTATTAGTATCACTTATTGGTGAATATCTAAAGTAATTTATAAATAACCTAATACAATATGTTGAATTACACTAAAAGAAAATTTGTGCATGAATGTTTTTGTGTTCATGCAGTTTCAGATAATATTGTAAAAGAAATTCATTATGTTGTTGATATATATAACTTAATTTCAATATTAAAAAATAAAAATAAATTAAAGAGTGAAGCAAATATATTAATTAATGAGTAAACAAATTATCATAATTTATAAATTTAGTAGTATAAAATAACCTTAATCAAATAACAAAAAATAAAATGTAATTATAACACTTTTCTTTATAATAATTATTTATATAAATTATATACAATAATAATAATAGTAAGAGTTTAAAGTAAATTTGGGGCCTACAATTTTGGGGGCCTAAGGCGATGTCCTCACTGGCCTAGCCTTTAGAGTCGCCCCTGCTTTTTGGTCTAATGTAGTTTCTTTGCTAATTTTTATTAAGTTTTTGTTGATTTTCTGCTGGGGATGCATGTCTGCTTCAACAATAATCACTGGTTTAATGTCATTACTAATATATACAAGCTTTACTTGCTATAGGTGCTTCTTCCATCCTTTCTTTAACCGAGGGTCTATCGCAAACAATCTCTCTGCCGTTTCAGGGTAGGGGTAAGGCTGCGTACGTCCTACCCTTCTCATATCCCACTTGTGAAATTACACTGGGTTATTATTGTTGTACTAATATATACAAGCTCTTCATCAAAGTTCTGTGTTCGTTACGAGCACCTTTTTATTTAATTAACTTTCTTGCCCATGATTGTATGTATAATTAATTGAGAGTCACAATTTAGGGATGTAAAATTGTTAGGAAAGCTATTAGTATATGGGAATGGATTCCAAAAATTATGTGAATTGTGATTCACAATATCTTCTTCTTCTTCCAAGTCCTTGTATTTCATGTGCCTTTTAATAATTGTTTTTAATTTCCTTTAGAGCATATTTCATGAAGATTAATTTATTGTTCTAATCATAATACTTCTAATATTGTTCTCTATAAAAATATTTTTTTTTTAATTGTGGGTGTTTGCAGTAAAAAATTAAGAATTACTCATTCTTAAAGTTAATATTGTGCCCTTTAAAAATAATATTTTTAATTGTGGGTATTTTGCAGTAAAAAATTATCAATTACTCAATAACCATATCAGGACTATAGCTATGGCATACAATTTGGTAAGTGTTTCTTTAGAATTAGTAGCTTGATTGATAATTTATATTTTTTTGGCTATTCTTAATTTTGATTAGGCGAGTATTTCTATAATTTTATTTTCTAGAAATAGTGTCTATTATTAGGTTTAGAAATAATAGTTATTTGAAGTCTTTATTTGAAACAAAGATTTTTTATCACCATTTGGTTAGAAAGAAAGACAAAAAGCTAGAAAAATACCAACCATAAATAATGATACTAACACATGATTAATTAGCTTCATTACTTCTGGTGGAAGACTTTTATTGAGTATGATTTTTCCTTTAATGCATTAGTATTATTTTCATGAACTTAGGTTTTTTTCTTTAATTTTTACCCAGTGCACTAAGCTTTCGCTATGTGTGGGGTTCGGGGAAGGACCGAACTACAAATGTCTATCTTACGCAGCCTTACCCTGCATTTCTCCAAGAGGTTGTTTCCACGGCTCGAACCCGTAACCTCTTGGTCACATGGCAATAACTGTTTCAGTTACGCCAAGGCTCCCCAATAATATTATTTCCTTTAAATAATTTATCAATATGATTCTTAAAAAGCTTATACATATTGATATGGGTACATGGGTACATGCATTTACATATTGATATGGGTACATGCGCAATGCGCGTACCCAAAAACTATTTGATAATTAATTAAGCATTGTGCACTTTTTTGATCTTTTCCTATTAAGACTTTATTTTTTAAGTGTTAAGAAATACTGCTGCTATCTTAAATTACCACGGCAAAAAGAAAAAGAAAAAAAAAAGAAATTACCTACTCGATCATAATATAAAAGAGAAACCCTAGCATTCAAATCAAAGCAAAGCTCCAAATACAGAAAAGGTAAAATCTTTTCAAAGGCCAATGAACGAAGAAATCAGTATCTCCCCTCAAATTCACAAAGGTATCTGTTTATTTTTGCCGCATCTGATGTCTATTTTCTGTTTGTCTGTATGTGCGCGTCGTGCCTGAGCAAGCTTAAGGCAGTTCTAACAATGGCGGATTTAGAGGGGGAAAGGGTTTCATCCGAACACCCTTCGCCTGAAAATTGCTTTTAATTTTGATAACTTTTTCTTTTTTGAACCTTTAGCGGTAATTCTGCCTCCGTTACTGCCCACTAAGGTTTAGACAGATGAAAACAAATTATTTTTGGTGCCTCAAGTTGCAACCTTGAGTGTTATTTTGTTTTTGTTTTATTTATAACCCAAGCTTGCGCAACACTCGATTAATTTCACTGAGGTATTTGTTACCTCTCATTAGCATAGATATCGTATAACTTTGTCCATCAAGGCTTGGACAGATAGAAATAAATTACCTAGTGTTTTTTGCCTCCCCTAGCATTGTTGCTCGTGTTATGGCGCTAACCACTATTTTTAATTGCAGCTAAGAGAGTTGTGAAGCTTTCAAAGAATACAAAGCACATGGATGTTGATGGGGCTATGGGAATTCATTTACAAGATGAAATAATTATGGACATTCTCAGTCTATTAACTGTACGGTCTCTTCTTCGATTCAAATGTGTTTCAAAGGTTTGGAAAAGGTTAATCTTATTCGAGCCTTACTTTAAGATGAAGCATCTCAATCGCGCCAAGAATGATCAAAATTCCCGAAAGTTTCTTGTTAGCCAAATGTCCCTTGATACGGATAATATGTTTTCCTTCTATAGTTCTTCTTTGTCTTCGTTTTCTTCTTTCTCTTCATTTCAACTGGTTAAGGATGTGCAAAAACTTGATTGCCCTTCAAATTGTAGACCAAGCCGTTGCAGAATCTATTGTTGTCGCGATGGCTTGTCTCTTATTGGGGTTTGTAGTTATCCTGACAAACACCTCGTACTTTTGCTATGGAACCCCTCCACAAGGGAATCTGAACTACTCCCTTGTCCTGAATTTCCAACAGAGGAATTTTGTACTTTTGGATTGGGATATGACTCAACTAGTGATGACTATAAGATCCTTAAGATTGATCCTAAAGCACGCGGTGAAATTCTCTCGCTGAAAAGTGGTTCATGGAGAAAAATTGATCAACATCCTACCGGCGTTTACCCTGTGTTGTCTTGTATGGACTCTTTGGCATTTGTAAATGGAGCATTTCATTGGCTTGGTTTGTCGCTCAATGATTTTGCGGTATCATTTAGTATTTCAAATGAAGTGTATGGACAGATTCCGTTGCCATATGCAATGTGCTTAATGGAAAACACCGAACGTGGCATCTCAGTATTGAACGGAATGCTTTGTGGTTATTGTATTAACAGTCGGGAGAAGGACTGTTTTTGCGCATTGGTAATGAAAGACTATGGTGTCAAGGAATCTTGGTGTCCATTGTTTGTTATACAATGTACGAATCTTTATTCAGCCATACCCGGATATAGGTTTGCAGATGGTGAAGTGTTGCTCTATACTGGGAATTGGTTTTATTCTGTATTGAGGACATCCAAAGGACCATTTGGATTATGTCCTCAATCAAATACTTATCGTGAAGGATTCGTTTGTACAGAGAGTGTGATCTCTCCAAAATTACATTATGAATGATGGAGACAATTCTTTTATTTTTTCTCGGGTTATCATGTTACAACTCTTATTCTTGTAAGTTTATCTATTGATCGACAATTTTTAGTTAATAGTTGTTTTGCTCAAGTAGCTATTATTTTTAATATAGTTTGAAGCTTTTGGAAATTATATAACTTAGTTTTAATATCATGAACTTAGTTTTTATATAACCCGGGGTAAAATTTTATTCGCAATGATTACGTGACAATTAACAGTTGAAAAATACCCGCTTAGAAGGTGATTGTCAATTTTCCTTCAATCTCACGCATCTAAAAAAGTGTATTCATGCTATTTGTCACATTAGCATCCAATTGAGTCAAGACTATCAAACATGGGCGGATCTATAGCCTAAATTATGGGGCACGTGAACCCATGGTCTCTGTCAAATTAGACATTTTATGTACGTATTTTTTAAAACTGGTCCAATATTAAGTATTGGTACCCATGCTCCATAAAGGTTGAATGGTGCACTTGGTTCAGTACTTAATAATTTACTCAAAGAATCAATGATCAATTCCACTTAGCATTTTTTCCCTTCTTTCTTTAGTGGTGCACCCATGTTCTAGATACTCTATATCGCTATCAAACTTCCAAAATTTAAGAAGATATTCAGGGGCAATAAGACAAAAATAGCTCATGCATTCAATGTAATATGGATAGTACTTGCCCAAAGTGTGTTTTGTGAAAAGAAGGAAAGGGAGAAAGAGGGAATTTTAAAATGAAGTGAAAGGATAAAAAGGAAGCAAAAAGTAGAGACAATGAAGAGAAAGCAAAAGGTAAATAAAAAGTAATAAATAGTGCTAGATAAGTAGTATATAAAGTAACAATAACAACAAAAAACCCAGTATAATCCCACAGGTGTGGTCTGAAGAGAGTAGTGTGTACGCAGACTTTACTCCTACATTTTGAAGGTAGAGAGGCTATTTTTGAATTCTAGAAAAAACCCTGAAGATGTTCTTTGTATAAAACAAACTACAAATTGAGCTAGAGAAAAAATTAAGACTCTTAACAACGTCGGAAATGCAATCTTAACTTAGAATAATAAAATACACTATGTGGCATAACAACACTTTCATCATAGTCGACTACATAGACAGCCCCCTAAAGTTGCCACGCCTTTTCATTTAGACAACTCAAAACTAAGGCTATTACCTATTAGACTTGCTTAGTTATTATTTGGAACAAGGTCTAGAGTATAATGACCAAGCCTTCCAGTACGATACAGATTAAGCAATTTAGCAGCCACTTTACGAACATAATCATCCGAATCAGGAGGCAAATTAAAAGCATCGCGAAGGACAGCAAACTCTGCTTGGATAAGCTGCAGCATGATCTCCTCATCCTCTAGGTTTCCATTGAAAGATGAAACTGCTTCGAAGAGCATTCTTCGGACTTTGTTCACAATGAAATCCTGTATGAATAATCTCAGATGTCATATCCAACTATTCTAATGGGGAAAGAACAAGGAGTCGATATAAGTTGAGCTAAAAACTGGACTATATTCATGTTCTAAAATTCCCATATGATCAGTAGTGTGCCAAATGACTTGGATGGCTGGCCTCTAATTTTGTAAGAGCAGTTTCATTACAAATGACTAAAGAAACAAAACAAGCATACAACAAAGAGGAAAGAAAGACGTTATAACCGATTTCCTTTTGAACTGCTAACCTGCGTGTGATCTGTTAAATATTGTCTCTTTTGTCTTCTCTCCAACTCAGAACTATCATCAGCACCTGATAATGACAACTTGGCCCATTTCTTGTATTCATCACTCAAGTTAAAGATGGATAGAAAATATTCCGCAAGCTCCACTTCCCCAACCAAGCAATCTCTAATTGCACCTGCATTTAGAATAAAGGAAATTGGAGTATCAGTTGGCAAGCCACGTCTAGACTCACACCTGCATTTTTCTACTTCCTCACGAGCCATGGTACTTTCTCCTTGTGTATAGTTTTGGCCCTATTAATATATATCATTCCTTCTTTTTGCTTCAGTTAACAAGAGGAGCAAGAGCTGTGAGAGAGTTCGAATTTGTGACTATGTTCTGATGAATCCAAAAGGTTAGCAAAAGAAAATGTTTTGGAAATTCTACCTGTTAAAGCTAGATTGGAGCACACCTCTGCATCAAGAATCTCAGCCGGCAAAACACCAGGTGTGTCTAACACATAAATACTAGGATGGCTGGCGATCTGATTTTGTAAAAGTAGTTTCATCAGGAAATGATTACAGAAACACAAAACAAACAGAAAACAGGAAAACTAAAACCCATAAGCTGAAATACAAGCTTCAGGAACTATGCGAAAAATCCCAAATCCAGATATACTAACCTTTCTAGATCACAACTTTTGTGGTTGAAGCGAGATGATGATAATACAAAGAAAGAAAAAAGAGCCTCTTTTTTTTTTTAAATAAGTAAGTAAAAAATACCTTCAAGCCACTAATATTTTTTGTTTCTCCAGGATCAGGACTCACTATGGCATGCTTTAATCTTCCTTTCTCTACAGATCAAAGAATGTTTCAGGATGTTTGGATCGGATAAGTTTGTTACACTAGTGTCTTTCTGAAAGACGAGAGAACAGCTATAAGAACTTAACAACTAACAGTTTGTACTAAAAGTTGATGTACCCGCTGCACTGATCCTTCCAATTTGATGCAATGAGTTGGCAAGGGCAGACTTGCCAACATTAGGAATGCCAACAAGCATTAATGTAATTGTCTGATCACCATGACCAGTCTTTGGTAGTTCTCGAACTCTAGCTCGCAAAAAGTTCAGTAACTGCAAGTCTGCAATATGTCAAGATTTATATCTGACTTAAATGAGCATGACATGCAAAACAAAAGGTTGTCAGATCAACTAGTGATGAACATCAAAACCTACTCTTTTTTCATTAGTACAATACCAATGCCAAACCTACAATAATTAGTCAGATTGATAAACATACTCAAACAGACCAAAGTATTTCGGGTGCACACCATCAACCGAAAGGCCATCTGAATTCAAATGCAAGCTAGGTAACTTGGTAACATTAAATTATTTAATCTTCGAAAAGTATCATTGCTGCAGTGTTCTACTTCCTTATACTACTAAAACTTAGGGTATTGTCAAAGCATTGCCTCATATGTTAAAAATTAAAGAATTCCTACTCTGTACAAAAAAAAAGTTACTTTAGTAATAATCTAGAAAGCTAACCATCATGCAATCTCAGCGGGAGAGTATGTTCCGAATTATGGGAGTAATAGGCAAGTCGCAGACAGATTGTGCAGCTAGAACTGAATAATAAATTCAGGAGTATAACTCGAAATTTGATATTTGTTACAAAATCCAGATTCTGAAAGTAGTATTAGCTCAAATATTCTTTCTACTACAAACTTTAATAAAATGCATGTTGTTTTTCGTTATACACTGTTAAAATCAGCATTTGCACCAATTACTCCATAATGGAAGTAAATGATGTCAATCCTTCAGAAATATCATCCTTGCAATATGGTATTAGTATGTACGCATCTATATGAGTTCATGTCAAACAGCAATGAACCAAAATTATGCCATCTAAACCAATAAGTTTTGGTACTAAAGGAAAAATTTGCGAATTTGTGAATGAAATGATGTTTATCAACTCAGCCAAGAAATATAGTACCAATGCGTACGCACCTATGCATTTATGTCAAACATCATGAGAAGAACAATTTACCAAAACGCCGCCAAACAAATAAATGTTCCTACTAGAAAAACAGTTTGCAAATCGGAACATGATTTAGTTTGAATAAATTTCATACGTATACCTCTTTGATGTTATCCTTATTATGGGAATTGACTCCAAAAACAAGACACTTCCGTTGCTCAAAGTATTTCAGCCATTCCTGCAGGAAACAAATGTAAATAAATATCTGCACATGCAAAAGGAAGCCAGCAAAAAGCATCTACAACATAAAATCTGCAATAACTTTATCGGAAGTAACGCCTAACAACAGAAAGCTATAAGGTATGCTGCCTGTGATCATATTAAGGGGTGGGCAGAGCAGGGGGGAATCTAGGAATTGGCTAGATGAACAATTGTCGACTGAAACAGCAGTGTTTAGCACAATAAGAAAGTGAAGAAAAAAGCATCACCTTTAATTGAATGTGATTTGCTAAATCTGTCTTGTTCAGAATTATAATGCGCCTCAAGGTAGGTGACAAATTCTTAATTAGCTCACATTTTGATGATAAAGGAATCTGAGAAAAGCCAAAAGGGAAAAATATTAAAAAATTAGATGACAGATATACAAACATATCCATGTAATTAAGGGAACTGGAACATGCTTGAACATATGTTGAATTATAAATGAGTTCTAATAAAAATACCCAATGTCATTGACTAGTTTGTCAATTTTTTTGTTTGATTTTATTTATGACAGTGATGTCCGAGCCAATTTGCGCAATCTCGACTAATCCACCCAGCAACCTGCTATAACCCACAAGCACCAGTGTCGTGTAACCCTATCCATTAAGGATGGAGTGGGTTCACCACGAGTGTTGTAGCCGGGATTTGAACATAGAACGACCAGGTTGTCACTCATAGGCTTCAACCACTCAGCCAGCCCTTTGGGGACTTGACACTACGTCAATATGTCAAGCTATGTTATTGCTTTTTCCTTTTTATCCCTTATGCTCATGCTATAAACACGTATGCATTTATTTTCTTACGTTTGTGTTGACATTTCAGATGCAACTTAGACAAGGCTCTGGAAGATCAAAAGAGTTACTGGTAAAAGCACATAATCTACCAAACGAAGCAAAAGATAATGGTTTATTGCAGACTTGGTACATACTTTTTGATATGCTAAACTCCAACCCCCCAAACCCCACTACCCAAAGCCGAATTTCCCACTTTGCTCCCTTGGCGACTTTACCACTAGGCTATCCCTCCCTTGACTACTTGAAGGAGACCATGCAGGATTAAGTCATGCAAGGTCAGACCCCGTTGACAAGAGGATGCACATCTAAGAGAACAACTTATTCACTCACATAGTGTATTATCCAAACCCAAATCAGAAAAAAAAAAAAACATTTCGGGAGTAATAAGCTTATTCAGACATTTAATCAAACACATGCCAGACAAAAATGAAAAGGAAAATATTCGTTAAGGCTAAAGTTTTTACATACCCGCGCATCTCTCACTTCAAGGACAAGATCAACCAATGGGATTCGTTCGGCTATGGCACGAGAAGCTGCAGCCATGTGAGGTGTGTACCACCATGTTGAGCCTTTATTCCTTGCCACTTCCTTAATTGCATTACCTATCTTTTGAACTAAACTGGCCTTTAACGTCATTCCTGTACAAAAGAATAGGCTGGGTCAAAGCATAATTGGATTAGCATTTTCCCTAACAAGTAATAACTGAAGTCAAAATGGACAGAAAGAACGAGTTCTTAATACAAAAAGCTGCTAACTTCAAATGCTAAAGCAAGTGAAAAGGCTTAAAGAAACACATAAAAAACGTAAAAAGGTTCGAACTTTACCTAATTGGCGATAAAATTCCAGCAAGTAGAAGTAAGCCCAGCTTGTCTTATTCTTGAAAAATGGCTAAAACCCAGTTGAGATTGAATCCATTCAAATCAAGTCAAAAAGTTCCCAAATACAGACCAGTTGAGAATTCTCAATACCCTTCTTTGACAGCGCCTTGCATTGCAAGTACAGTTCATTCAGTTTTTATGCTTGTACCAATTTACAACTTTTTGAAATTATTTTAATAATTATTCTAATTTCTTTTTACTACTATTATTTACTTAAAAATATTAAACGAGATGTAAATTATGGACATGAATTTTATGAAATGAGTAATAATAAAGAGATCTGCCATTTAAAGATCATGATATCGAATTCAAGAAGTAGTTTTACGGCTTGTTTGGATGTTTATTGTGTATGTTTCATAATGTATTTTATGCTTTATATCGTTTCAATATATATAATATTTGAATTTGTCGTTTCGTTATTTCATGTGTCAACATATAAAGAAAAACTTGTAATATTATAAAGAAAAAATAAGATATGAGGTATAATTATTATATAAAAAAATTAGGGTAAAGAATAAAATATGATTATTTAATAAGAAGAAAGAATAAGATAAGAGGAAAAAAATAAGATAACAATGCGACCATACCAAATCAGTCGTTATATTTTGTTGTTACGTAACGACGAATTTAACAATATGATATATTAAAATTTAAATAACAATTAAATATCGTATTTAAAGTAACAATAAAATATAACAGGTTGTTAATATACATATTTTTATTTCACATTCTATTGAATAAATTTTTACATAAATAATGTATAAGATATGCACAGTTGGTCAGTAGTATTTATTTTGGCTGTGACACTGTGAATGAGCTGCTTCTATTTCCTTTGCACTAAATCTATGTTCTACCATGCTCGCATTTCTCGTATAGCTTCTTCCCATCTGATTCTTACAATAACAAAACCTCTGCAAACTCTCTCTACTCAATCATCACCAAAATTTTCATTCCCCATTTCACAATCACAACAACAATGCACTCAACAAAGAAAACCACAAGATCTTCTCTCCTTATGTTCCACAACAAAATCTCTCCTTCAAACCCAACAAGCCCACGCCGTCGCCATTACTCATGGCCTTCTGCCTATCAGCATTTCCATTTCTTCCGCTCTTATTCTCCGTTACGCCGCCTTTTCAGCAGACCCAACAATCATACGGACACTGTTCGATCAAAGTCTCCCTTTTTCGCGTTCTGCGTTTCTTTACAATACGCTTATTCGAGCTCAAATGATTATGGGTGTTGCGGATTATAGTGGGTTTGAGATTTATAATGGGATGTTGAGAATTGGCGTTGCGCCAGATGATCATACTTTCCCTTTTGTGATTAAGCTTTGTTCGGATTTTATGGAGTTTCGAAAAGGGTTGGAAGTTCATGGATTGGTTGTAAAATCTGGATTTGATTATGATGTGTTTGTGAATAATACGCTGATGTTTTTTTACGGGAATTTTGGTGATTTGGTGGGTGCGCGAAAAGTGTTTGAAGAAATGCCTGAAAGGGATTTGATTTCGTGGAACAGTATTATTCGGGTGTTTTCGGATAATGGGTGTTATTTTGAAGCTATTGGTATGTTTAGAAAGATGGGTTTGTGGTCCGAGTTTAAGCCCAATGAGGTAAGCATTGTGAGTGTATTGCCTGTTTGTGCAGTGTTGGAAGATGGGATGGTTGTTAGTGAGATTCATTGTTATGTGATCAAAGTAGGTTTAGATTGTCAAGTGACTGTTGGGAATGCGTTTGTTGATGCATATGGAAAGTGCTTAAATGTTGAGTCGTCAAGACGAGTTTTTGATGAGATGGTTGAAAGGAATGAGGTTTCTTGGAATACAATGATTGGTACTTTTGCTCATAATGTGTTTAATAACCATGCATTGGAAAGTTTCAGGTTTATGATTAATGAAGGTTGGAAAGTAAATTCGACTACAGTTTCAAGTTTGCTACCGGTCTTGGTTGAACTTGGCGAATTTAGTAGGGGAAGAGAAGTTCATGGCTTTTGTCTAAGGACAGGTTTAGAGTGTGATGTCTTTGTTGCGAATGCCTTGATTGATATGTATGCAAAATCGGGGCGTTCAGCTCAAGCATCTGCCGTATTCCACAAAATGGGTATTAGAAATGTTGTGTCGTGGAATACAATGGTAGCAAATTTTGCTCAAAATAAGCTTGAGTTAGAGGCTATAGGACTTTTTGCGGAAATGCAATCTTGTGGTGAAACTCCAACATCTGTCACACTGACAAATGTTCTTCCTGCATGTGCACGAATTGGTTGTCTTCGTTCAGGAAAGGAGATACATGCCAGTTCAGTAAGAAACGGGTCTGTCACTGATCTCTTCGTCTCAAATGCTATAACCGATATGTATGCAAAATGTGGTTGCCTTAATCTGGCCCAAAATGTGTTTGACGTGTCTCTGAGAGATGAGGTATCTTACAATATACTCATTATCGGTTATTCACAGACAAGTTATTGCTCCAAGTCTCTTATACTGTTCTCTGAAATGGTGACGACAGGGATGAAGCATGGCACTGTTTCCTTTGTTGGAGTTCTCTCGGCTTGTGCAACTATTTCCGCGATTAAACAAGGAAAGGAAATTCATGCATTTGCAGTGAGAAGATTGTTTCATGAACATCTCTTTGTATCAAATTCTCTTTTGGATTTGTACACCAAATGTGGACAGATTGATCTTTCTCAGAAGATTTTTGACAGGATTGAGGACAGGGATGTAGCATCATGGAATACTATGATTTTAGGGTATGGGATGCTTGGTGATTTACGTACTGCAATTGATATGTTTGAAGCCATGCGAGAGGATGGTGTTGAACACGATTCAGTCTCCTATATTGCAGTTCTATCAGCATGTAGTCACGGAGGGCTAGTTGATAGGGGAAAGAAATACTTTAATGACATGCTTGCTCATAACATTGAACCATCACAGATGCACTATGCTTGCATGGTTGATCTTCTTGGTCGTTCGGGGCTTATGGATGAGGCCATTAACCTTATTACTGGTCTACCATTTAAACCAGATGGCAATATTTGGGCTGCGCTGCTTGGAGCATGCAAACTCCATGGAAATGTGGACTTGGGTTCTTGGGCAGCTGAGCACTTACTTGAGCTGCAGCCAGAGCATCCTGGGTACTATGCTCTGCTCTCAAATATGTATGCTGAAGCAGGCCGGTGGGGTGAAGCTGATAGGATCAGAGAATTGATGAAGTTGCGAGGTGTGAAGAAAAACCCCGGATACAGTTGGGTTCAAGTTCAAGACAAAATGCATGCTTTTATTGTTGGACAAAGACTGGAAGGACTGGATCCGTGTTTGTCGCTTGAAAGCGTTGGTTGAGGTGGGTTGTTTTGTTGAGCCTTCAGAGTATGATCACTACTTGCACTAGATGGTTTTATTTTTCCCGATGCCCCAGACTTTTGTCTTTGGCAATTGTGAGTGTGAGTTGTGATACACCTAGTTGAACATCAATTTGGAGATAATTGTGACAAGAACTGAAAAGATATAGCAAGAGCTCTGGTGATCTGCTTTGCGTAAGGTCTGCTATTACTGGGGCAATTTCCAGCCAAATGTAAAGCAATCATGGACATGTGTTGACTATGCTCTTAAATTGATAAGTATTCATGGCTGGTCAATGAACTATTTGTCTTTGAGCTTCTGGCCTGCACCATGGAAATGCCAAAACCATATGAAGCACTCAAGGAGTTAATCTTCTCGGAGAAGAGCAGCAGAACAAGGCTGCTTTATAAATCTACTTCTGCTCTAATTGCTGATTGGACTGAGACGAGCTAAATGGAACAGCATTGACAACGAAGATTCATATAGCTGATCCGACTTGTTCGGGATCGAGGCATAGTTGTTGTTATTGTTGTTGTTGTAAGGTCTTCTTGACCCACAACTCAATATATTTGCCATTTAACAACTATGCCTGTTACCATCATAAAAAATTCAGAATCACAATGGTGGTCCCCCGAGTCCAATATTACTAGCTTTTCATGTACTTGTAACTTCAATCTTGATTCAGCTTTTCGTATATTGCTTATGAGGTCTTTCAGTGTCAGGTGGCAGATTTTGTTAAATTCATTGTTTTTCATTTACATGAGGACCTAAAAGTGTATAATTCAGCATAAGTTCAACCGAGAAAAATTCTTACCTGCCTTGAGATGAAGGACAGGAGACATTTTGTGTGAAAAGGGAATTGTAGAAAACATCCAGAATAAGAACTTTGACATCTCTTCCATGAGCTGAAAGCTCAATCATAAAGCTTGATTGTTTCCATTGTATGGCTCTTTGACACTTAAGAAAGTTACTCTGCTCTAAAGGTGCACTGTTTTCTGCTAATAGTTGGAAGCTGGCACTCAAATTGTTCTTAAGATACATACATATACATCCAAAGAAGTACATATATAACCAAAAAAGACAATGATTTTCATCTTAGAACTTACAAAGCACAGAAGGCAAGCGAGGCGTAAGTAGCACTTTTATAGGATTTACTTTGCGCATTGTCATCCCTAACCCTTCTTTCATATCCAACGGTTCGTTCAACGATGTACTAAAATCAAAACCTTGGAGTAAATGAGCTATTGCAAGGTGTGTCACTTGAGTTGCATAGGTAATCCCTGGACAAGATCGTCTTCCAGAGCCAAATGGGATGAACTCATATTGTTGACCGCGAACATCAAACCCTGCTTGACTAGTCAAGAATCTCTCTGGATCAAATGTATCAGGATTTGACCAAATCTCGGGATCTCGTTGCAGTTTCATTGTATTGACCCACAATCTTGTACCCTTGGGAATGTGGTATCCATGTACAATGCAGTCCTCAACAGATTCATGAGGTACTAACAAAGGTGCTGGTGGATATAATCGTAGTGTTTCTTTAATAACAGCTTGGAAATATACCAAATTCTTGATATCACTCTCTTCTACCCATCTGTTTCTGCCAACTTTTGTGTCTAGCTCTTCTTGGACTTTCTTCATGACATCCCTATGGTTTAATAATGTTGCCATTACCCAATTCAAGTGAATAGCAGTCGTGTCCGAAGCATCCAATACCATACTCTGGTGGAAAACAACAGTTTAAGAAAAACAAAGATAAGAAAAGCAAACAAAAAAACAATCTTTTCATCAAAGCAATAGATAGCTTCTTGTTACCATCAAAGCAATATACTTGTATCCTGCTATATTGTTGCACAATTCAATTCAGAACATAGAGTCTCTTGGAAGTGATCAAAAGGCCACCATTAGGATTGCTGTATCATGAGTTAAAATTCAATAAGTCTCTTGATTGCTATTGTCCAATTTAGTTCTTTACTCCCTAATGATTAACCCTATGTATATATGTATAAGAAATGAATTTAAGTTACATATACTGATGGCATAAAGAAGTTTTATGTTATCAGTGCAATCTACCTAGTTATAGCATCTTTTTAGTAACCGAAAAATCCTGTTCAGTGGCACGCGATTCGGAACTCGGTGAATAGACCCATCCTCTATCTTTCTCCACTTATATACCAGGCTTTTTTACTTGCGGCAAGGTTCAAATTCATGACTTGCGCCTAACCCACATATCATGCGTTGCGCTCTTACCGCCGGAATAAATCCCTAAGGGCAAACCGGTTATACCATGTTATCACTCTATTTTCTATGTTATAGAACCTACAAACAAACGAACCCAGTGAAATACCACACGTGGGGTCTGGATGTTATTGAACCTATCATACTTGATATGACGAGTTAACTGTTGTTTGTAAGTTAATTTGTAGTATAAAATTCTTTCTATACTGTCAGTGCATACCACATAAATTCGTAGGAGTATAAAATAAGCAAATTTCAAGAAAAGCAATGAATATATAGCAGCAAAAGACAATACTCACCAGAGCAGTAGCTTTAATGGTGGTTTCTCTAGTATAACTATCTGCAAAATCTTCATTGCTCATCATAGAAAGCATCACGTCAATAAAATCCTGTTCATTTCCAGCAACAACATCAACTCCTTCTCTCTTCTTCACATGTTCATCCAACCAATTTTGTAAAACACAATCAATATCTTTAAATGTCCTTTTCATGAACTTTACATGCCCTTGAAAATCAATCCATTTGAACAAAGGAATAGGAAATGCATCCCATAATACAAACTCCATTGAAATATACATAAAATCTTTTAAAGCTTTCTTAAATCTTTCAGCTTCTTCTTCTTCTTCTCCTCCTTTCTCATTAAGCCTTCCGTAGCTTTTTCCAGCTATCATTTTCACTATCAAGCTCAATGTCAACTTTTCTATCCAATTTGTAAGATTTAGTTTCACCGGCACATAATCTCCGGTCACCGGCAAATTATCTCCGGCGATTGAGGAATGATCTCCAGTGACCGGTAAATGCAAGTGATCTCCGGTGACTGTGGAATGATCTCCCGTGACGGGAAATAAAGAGAAAAGCTCTTTTATACTAGTTTGAACTTCAGAAACCCTAACAATTTTCAATTTTTCTAATCTACTACTCGAGAGAACTCCCTGAAGAACAATTTTTCGAATTTTTCTCCAATAAGGACCATAACTGGCGAGAAAAAGCATGGCGTTACTGTAACCGATGTACTCGCCGGCTAAAGACGCCGGCCGGGCGGCGAACGCTTTATCGTTAGCATTCAAGCAATCTCTAACGGCATCGTAACTGCTAACGACTAATACGCGAGGTAACCCTAACCGGAAAGTGAAAACGGGACCGTATTTTTCAGCTAAAGTTGCTAGTTTTCGAGATAATGGAATGTCGTCGGCGCCGGAAAATTGGAGGAGTTGGCCGATCACCGGCCAGCCACCGGATATTTCTGGCGGTAAGGGTTTTAGAGGTTTTGAAAGTTTGAAATATTTTAATTTCCATATGAAAATGGAGAAAAATGCAAAAACTATGAGAACTGAAATTGCATTAAAATGAGAAAAAAGATTATCTTCCATTTTTTCCAACTAATTTTCAAGAATCTAAGGTTTATTAGATACTACAAGGATGTAATTTTATATCATTGAGACTCTAATAATATATATAT